GTGCTCTGCACCCCTTTGTTCAGAATCCAGTGCTAATGCTCCTCAGTGAGCTCTGACAAAAGCCAGAGAGCAGAGGTTTTTATCTGAAATGATGTTATAAATCTCATTTTAGCTGATGTAGAGCTGGACTGTGCACAGCCTGCATTCACGCTGTTCCATATCCGTGTGTTTCTTGTCTGTTCTCAAACAGCTGTTCTCACCCTGTACTCACTGGCCTGCCAGATGTTACAAATCCAGGGAAAATACAGAGTCACATTCTCCCTCTGTAGGACTTATTCATGACCAGCTTGAGACCTGCTGTTTGCTCTAACACTTAACCTGGATTTTCTAGTAACTCATCAACTGCGGTGACAAAACACGAGGTTAAGAACTCCTTGTTGCAGCAGGACTGATGCTGGAGATGTGATCTGATGCCCCAATCTCACATGAAGTTGCCTCAAGACCACGTGTATAATAATTACTGGTGCATATATGATCCCGAGTGACAGTCAGGCTAGATGCTTTAGCAATGCATGGCAAAGAGACCCTTTGGATCATTCTTAGTTCTTCTGACTCTCTCATAAAAGACTGATTTCCTTAATTAAATGTAGCACTTAAAATTCTTCAGCATATGCCTTTAATGTCCTTTATGTATTGTTAGAAACTGAAGTACAAGAGWTAATCACATTGAAAGTTTATCTTCTGTTTTAAGGGTGCTTAACCCCTCCCCCTGCTTCTCAGTCACTGGAAAACTCCTTAGTACTTAACTGGTCTCCAGATTATCTGCAGCAATGTGGAGAAGTGCCAGTCTGGGAGACATTGAGGACAGTTGGTTCACATGTTTTTAGTGATGTAATGTCCAATCTTAGTTACTCTGTGCTGCTGTTATGTGTAAATTCATGACTGCAGGAGTGATTAGAAGACTTGAGAGCAGAACTATTTTGCTGGCAGTCAGCATGACTCCARCTAAGAAGTAAGTCACAGGAATAATTAAAGATCTGTTAATTTTATGATAATCACTAGACTGGGTTTGTTAAAACAGTCTTTTTCATGGATGGCATGAGATCAGTTGATACAGTGCTGTACAGCAATGTTAGAATGACACAGAAAATCGGTTTGCTGAGACGCTGTGTCTGCCTTAAACTGATCTCACGGGGCACATTCTCCACACTTTGATATTTATTGTATTAAAAACTCATTCCTTTGACAGGGAAACTGACTTGTCAAAGGATCTGGAACATTTTTCCAGGAGCCCAAGTTAGCCCCTTGAAACTGGGCAGTCCTCACAGAGTTGAAAGAAATAGCAATTTTTGGGTCATTGCCGTGCTCAGATCCGTAATGGTGCGTTTTAATTAAACAAACGAGGTAGCGTACTCGCTTCAGGAACACAGGAAGCATCAGAATTTCTCACGTGGAAAACAARTTTCACTTGAAAGCTTTCAGGAAATATTGTTGGTAATATAGGCCAGGCCAGACAATGTTGAAAGACCTTCATATCGAAACCTCCTGGCCATGCATTGCAAACTCTTACAGCACCATCACAATTCACCTGGTATTTTCAGAGCCTCAATTTGGAGTCATATTTTTATGAGAAAAATGTTTAAGCTAATTTTCTAGTTTTTGGTCAAAGAAAAAGCTTGATAACACAATCCATTATATCTCAAAAGCAAATGAGACCCCATTTTAAGGTATTTCTTTATTTAAATTTCAGAACCGTTAAGGAAATCTGTGGTACTGTATAGTACTTACCATTTCCATGCGTCCTTGGATTAGGAGGATGAAAATAAAATGTATTCTGTGATGCCAGACCTATGCAATAAAGTAATCCCAATACTCTTTYCTGAGTACTTGGGAAAATGTCTACAGTTTAAAAAGCATTAAGCAGAAATCTGTGAGAAGTTGTTAAAGGAAGCAGCCTGGAATCAAAGTTGTGTGGACAAATATGAGCAGTGCTGAGCCAGGCAGTGCTGTTTGGAGGGGCAGGTTGGTATTTCTCTCCAGCAGAGGCACCAGTTCATCTGGAACATGTTTGGGTATCTCAGACACACCAAGGCATAGCTTAAGGTTGGCATGTCTGTAGTTTGCAAGCCCTGGTTGTTGGGTAAAGCAGGAGTGATTGTAAATACAGTTTGTTATTCATTAAGACTTGGGAGCAACAAATGTTTTTACAGAGCAAAGGCATCAGTAACCCTAGTGAATTYAGACCATAGTGAATCTGCATCTTTTGTACTCTCCACTGGTTCCTAGGCATCTTGCTTAATTTTCTCCCAGCTCCAAACCACATGAAACTCAAATTTCTTCATCCTCTGGGCTTTTCTGTGAGGTGTGAGAGAGTCAGGATAAGACTCCAGATCATACTGATAGGGGATAATTTCCTACTGGCATAGGCCAGCTGGGACCAAAGTAGTATCCTAGATTCAAAGACTAAAGTGAAATTGAGTCTCTTTCAGAATCTGCTATTGTCTATGGGTACCGGTTTAAAAAACGTATTATTTTGGAAGATGGTACATATCTCATCACTGAAGTCTATTGCTCAATATTACTCAAAATTCTTGAAGGATGTCCTTTAAACTGTTGTGTATTTCAGCTRATTTAACAAGACAAAAAAAGACTAATAATCTCTTCCCTTTCTTTTTCTTGATAGTTTATTATTTATTTTAAAAGGGAGAAGCATGGTTTAACTTAAGCTAATTCTCATCCAGCAATATGTGTATAGATTAGATGAAGGAAATGCYCTTTATCCACAGAACAATAGATTACTTGTTTAAATTACTTGTCTTAAAAAGATCCCGATTCGGCTTTGTTGAGCATAAAATATTAAATTTACTGTTTATTTTTAGTGGATTGCTGCCAATTTTCTTCTCCCTGACTGTCTTTAAATTGTTTAAAACATTAAAAAAATGTTCTCATCAAACATATATCTACTTACAAGAAATCTCTGTTGGTCTTTCAGCAGAGCCATAAAATCTTGTTGTTGGGACATGAACTCTGCTGTTATGGAATTTTCCTTTCTTTATTACCTTCATGTTTTTCCTCTTTTCTCTTTTTTTTTTTCTTTTTTTTTCCTCTTAGCCTACAAGTGTGGTAAATTATGTTGTGCTAATGTTGCTTATTAAATCTTCATAAACTGAGATAAAGGAATCCAGTGAGAAAGCTTTAGATGTCTCTTCAGGTGTAGTAGGTTGTTTAATTCTGTTTAATTGGTAGTAATGTTTGAAAAAACTGACCTAATCCTTGCAAAAATTGTGTCTTTTATTTCCTGAGGAAATGGTGCTAGGCATGGTCAGCTCCATTRGTAGAAATGAGAAACTGTGTAATTGGTATTACTATGGACTTGCATCTTTTTTACTTGACCCAAATTTGGCCTTTGGGATCCTTTATCAACACAAAATTTAAGCCTAGTGTAGTCTCTATAGTTGAAAGTGTATTTTCATAAATAAAAGATTAAGAAGTCAGGCATATGGGACAGATTTTTGGGACCAGGTCAGCATAGTGTGTCTGGTGACACTTGGAATGTTTATTTGCCTTTTGTTGAAAGGGATATTCAGTGTTATTTTTGTAAATCCCCTGCATAGAGCAGAGCACTCCCATGCTGGATGGAGTGCTCAGCATGAAGTGTTGTTTTTCCTGCAGGAATCACAGGTGACCCATGCAAGGCCTTTTCTCTCCTCTCAGRAGCACCATCTCCATGGGGAATGGGGAACTGACCCTGAGCAGCTACAGCAACACACAGAGCCTGAGCAGTGGGCTCTGAGCATTCTTCAGCTGTCACAGGTCAAAAATTGCTATGCAGTGCTAAAAACCAAACCAGCTCTTTACTGGAGCACATGTAAATGTTACAACACAGATCTCGACTGATCTTTTGACCCTAAGGTRGTTACCCACAAGCTGCATCACTGCCTTTTCACCTTAAAACACTTTCTCTAACGCCAGAGCGCCTGACCTCTGCAGCCTGTATAATTAGATTTTCTTTTCTTATAATGAATTAATGAGTTAGAGTTTTTTAAAATTATTATTATTAAGAATTCCTTATTAATGGACAGTCCTCCAKCTTGTTAGGATGGAGATAAGGGAACATGGTTTTTGCTCCTGCAAAAAAAAGTTTGCAAGAAAGATCTGAGATAGTGATTGCCTGCAAAGCTGTAGTCAGGAGTAAGGAAGGAAAGCATCTCCCTTTGAATGCCTTTAGTCTCCAGCACAACATAGAACAAGCTAAAACATAAATGCACTATCACTTAGCTGACTTATGACAGCTTGTAATGAATGAACGTGCTGCAGATTGAAATGTCACATTGACATGCTTCTGAATAAGGGATGAGTTTCATCAGCTTTATTCAATATATTTCTATCTGTGTCTGAAGTAGTGAGCAATCCATTTTGCTTGGGAATACATTTGGAAGTGGAAGAAGTTGAAACGTGTGCTCTCTATAGATATTGATAAAATATTTCTTTTCTTTTTCTCTCTTCATTCCAAAAATAATAAGTGGAAGATAGGCTGGATTCTGGCTTTGAAACTGGAAAGCTCTAGGAAATAAAAGTGTCGGAAGTCAGTTGGCTCTTTGAATGTAACATTTGGAAACTTTATATATAGACAAAAAAGAAGGGGGTTAGAGAAAATCCCATCAGTAATATTTCCATTTGTGGATTAAAAGCACTTTATTAGCTGCTAGATCTTTGGTCAGTGAAGCAATCCCTGATTATAGTTCCCTCTGCTGATATCTTTCTATATATGAAATTCCCATTACTTATAGGAAAAGACTATGGGATCAAGCTTACTGAGGAACATGCTTTATGAATTATTTTCCCTGACTTATCATTTTGTTAATAGTGAAATTTGGTGATAACTTCAATGCTTCCATTGCTCAAGAACAGTTTATTTTAATGAAGATCATAGGTGAGGTAATTTTGTCTGTGTTGCATACACATCTGTCTCAGAAGAGGATTTTTATATTTTGTACTGTCTCTTTTTGTTTACCTCCTTGTCTAACTATTTTTTCCCTCTCTCATGTGAATGTCTCTAGATGTTCGACTGGATCAGCCACAACAAAGAGTTGTTCCTGCAGAGTCACACRGAGATCGGAGTGAGCTACCAGCACGCCCTGGACCTGCAGACACAGCACAACCACTTTGCCATGAATTCCATGGTGAGTTGAGGGCACATTATGAGCAGCACAAGAGTGAGGAGAGTGTGTTATGGACCTGGGAGAGGTGATGTAAGGAAGGTCAGGCTGGTGGTGGCAGCAGCAGTGTTGCTCTGTCCACCCAGACACTGACCTATGGTTACTTCCTTGACTTAAGAGCAGCACAGTCCTACAGAGTTTGCTTACGTTTTAGAGAGCAAATACAATATTTTTTAAAGTTTTAGACATTTCTCTGACTGGGAATTAATGAGAGCTGTAGGTGGTACCTTAATAATTTATCCTTCTTCCACACCCTGCTAAGGTATTTTTCCAAACCTTGAAAAGGAGACACTAATCAAACTGTCAGTTGTGGCCACAGTAGGATTTTGCCTTTTTCAGTTGTTAATTGGTCAGAAGCTTTGAATGCAGCTCAATTTACCTTTCTATTTCTTAAAAAGAAAACCCATCATTATACCTTTGTAAGTGCTTTGCTYATTTTCTTATTCTTTTCATACATAAGGTATTTGTGCTGGAAACTGCCCTTCTTTCAGCACAGGAATGAGGACAGGATGTATTGATGTTTTGATTATTGCAGTGGGATAGAAAAATGCATGTACACCCCCTGCTGTAGCCGCACAGTGCAGAGATGAGCYCTCTTTGCACTCTGTCGACTAGAGCAAAGCCTGCCCTGAGTAAACCACTCCTGCAGGTGAACATCCTCATGCTGGGCAGGGTCAGGCTGCAGCTGCACSGGGGCTGACACCTCAAAGGTGGCTCAAGTTGATGGTGGAAGGCACTGGAGAGCCACAGCTGCTCTGCTGCCCAAGGGCAAGGTACTGGAGAGCAGCCGGCTGAAAAGGGAAAAGAGATCCCGACTACCCGAGGAAGTTAAAGACCCCACACTGCTTTCATAAGGTTACAGGCATTAACCCTGGGATTCTKGCCAGATTCCAGGTYAGGTAATTAACTTCTCTGACCTGAATTCCACAGGCCATTTCCACCTAGCCAGCTATTCCCCACTCAAAGCACTGTGCCTCACTAGGGCATTGCATAACAGTGGGAGATGAGAAATGTTTATAATGCCTGTTAATGTGTTTATTGTGATTGTATCTGAACACAGCACTGAAAACCAGGCTCTAGGCACCTGATTGTTAAACTTGCCATCACAGTGCCATCTAGCAAAATCCAGGATAACACTGGCTCCATGTAACACTGCTGCTCTCAAGAGTCCCAACAAATAAATGTGTCCTGGAGGTTAGCGCATTAAAATTCATTTGGCTTATGAAAGATGCAAATTTGGTCTTAATTCTTCAGAAATACCATTAGAATATTCAGGCTGGAGGATTTCCCTTTATCCTTTTTTGTGATACTGGCTGGTATTATTTTCCTAAAATAACTGGGAGTTAAGCTTGGACAGAGATCATTGCCATTAATAGAAAATTAACGAGTGGCGGGGATGGGCCACCTAATCAAAGAAAAATTATTTTCCTCCATTCTTTTTCCATCTGTCCCCAAGTGAACTTTTGGGAATGAGGAATGCAAGGTAGTAAGACCTTACTTTAGGTCTTGGAGAGTGACCCCAAAACGTAACAAATAAGCTAAACATTCCCTATAGGTAAATAACTTATACAGCTCTGTGTTACTTTTCGAGTGCTACTTTTCTTAYAGCTGAAGTTGCATTTTAGAACTGGAATCCCTTCTGATGATGAGGTGATATCTTCCTTTTGGTTTTGTATCAACAATTTGTACAGAAAACAGCAACAGTTATTCAACTTAAATTTTCATTTGAAAAATTTCTTGTGACATGCTCTTGCAGTAGGAACTTTAAAAAAAAATTCAACAGATTTCTGTTGTCAAACAGAGATGAGATAATGAGTTGTGGTATCATTATTTGAGTTTGTTTTTTTTCTTTACTGTACCCAGTATCCTTTAAGCCTGGCATAACTCATAATAATTAAAATATAGTTTTCAGTTCCTCTAGAAAATGCACACTCCTAATGTTTATTGGGTCATGCCTTTTGTTGCATGGTCTTCCTATACATTTCTATAGGCATGCTGTGACCAAAGCAAAACAATTTGCAACTCTGTTTGTTACAACAATAATTCTTCCTTTTATATGATCAATGTGGGATGTGGGGAAATAATATACTTGAGGTAATAAACTGTAGTGTGCTATTTTTCTTTCAAATAAGGAGCATAGATTATTTTTTTTCTGTGATTCAAGGCAGTGCTTGTTTTCACTTCAGTTTCAAAATAAATTATGTTACTCTTTATCACAGCTGTATAATGTTTATATTGAAGCAATAATACTTTTCACAAAGAAGAATATTTAACTCAGACCTTTTTCAAGCAATATCAATAATGTWATAAATTCACTAGAAAACAAAACCTCAGTGTTGCAGTATGGCACAAAGCATCCTGGGTGTATCTCTGCACTTGGATACACGGTATACATGCTATGTGTTCTGACTAAAGTTATTTGTATTTCCCTTGCCTGGATTTTTTTTATGCCTGGATCTGATAACTTCCYTAAATCATGAGTTCCTGTGAGGCGTGCACACAAAAATGGGAGTTTTCAGTGCTGATACTGCTGCCTGTCCTGCTGTCACTACACCCAGATCCATGTTGTCYTAAATCACAATATATTTCAAACACATTACAATTACCATGTAAAGGCTAATAGTGTCTGTTGAARACTCCCAACATCTGTCTTAAATGAATGGTATTTTTCTGTATGTAGGCTGAGCTAAAATGTCATCCAATATTACACAGTGTACATGTAATTGGYCTTGTTATAGAAACTTAAAGGTCTTAAGGATATCTCATGAGGAATTTTTTTTTGTCACCGAAACATTTTGCTTTGGATTTATGTGTTAGGCTCATTTCACATATGGTTTCTAGAGTCACAGTAACACCATGCAAACGGTTTATTTTTATTTTATTTTTATTTTATTTTATTTTATTTAGTTTTTATTTTGTTTTGTTTTGTTTTGTTTTATTTTATTTTGTTATATTTTATTTTGAAGAACAATCCTTCAGCAATCAAATTTCATTCTCAACTGATCTGCAGAAGCCTTCTCTTGCAGCCCAGCTTTGCTGCTTGCCATCACAGTATCTCACCTGGTCCTTTAGGAAATGGGATGAACACAAACTCCTTGCAGATTTAATGCTTTCCACTGCTCATTTTTCTTTTGTGAGTGTCAGGCATTCTTTTACAAAATGTATCACAAGAAAGTGTTGTCACAGCTAGGCTTGGAGAGTTTAATTAAGAGGGAAGGTCTCCTAGCTTGCCCACAAGATGATCAGGGATGAATTACTGTATTTCCCTGAAGGAGATCATTCCACTCTTGAAATTCCACTGCTGCAGTGATTATTGCTGAGGCTGAGGGCTCTTACCCAGCCCGTGCTGGGACCTTGGCAGTACTGCAGGGGAGGGGACAGCTATGTCACACACCCTGGGGACCAGAATCAAGGCCTTGGTTGGGTGACAGAAACAGACTGAGAATTGGTGGACAAAGAGGGGAGTGTGAGCTTGCAAGGGACTGCTCAAGGCTTGTCTAAACTGTGGAAGAATCTCTTACCTATTATGATGCTGATACACATTTGAGGAGATTTTTGTTTTGTTTGCCAGTCTGGTAATTCTCAGAAGGCAAAAATCCCCTTTTTTGCACTAAAGTTTCAAATTTGAAAAATAGCCAATAAAAATTGTTACATGAGGAGTGCTTTTGGAAAGTCTGCAAATACATGTGAATTTTTTTTTTTTTTTCAAAAGTGAAAGATATATGTTAGCCAGAATTTCAGTGTATCCTAATGTCATGAGTACAGAATGTCAGATGAAGTGTTCTTACTTCTAGATGTCAATTTATTGTTTCCTCATTGTTAGACCTATTGTGGTTTTATGTAGCCATAAATGAGTGAGTTTTTGCAGTCCTCTTTGGGCACCTTTCTCGGTTTTGAAAGAAAGATGAGGTTAGGTTAGCTCTAAAGTGAGACTCTCCAAGCACCTGCCATTGTGGATTTTCCAAGCCTAAAGGAAAAACAAAGTCCCAGACATTAGTTGCTCTATGAATTTATTTCGTATTAAGATTGAAAGATCTATATAATAGTGACATAGAAAAACATCTCAATTCACTCACTTTATAGAGCTGAATAAACCAGAGGGAAAGGAAGGTTTAACTTTGTGAAATGTCAAGAGATGAATTTTGTCAGCATAGATTTTCCATTTTACTCAGAACATTACACATTGGCAGATAAAAACAAAAAGAAAACTGGCTTCAAAGTTTTTCTTCTTTAAGRTGGAGAGGAAATGTCTTGCATTTTGTGGATTGTGGTCAGTTAAATGTTTTGGGGTTTTTTTCCTGAAAGTAAATTATGGGTTGCCTTGAAGCCATACTGCATTTTACCTCAATCTGCAGCAGCAATAGAGAAGAACAAGTCACAGGTGATACTGCACTGGAGTGCATTTATTGCTCAGAAATGAGCAGGAGAAGCTCAGAATTCTCTGTTTCCTGAGCCTTTTCCACATGGTGYAGTAAGAATAGAGGTGTGAGTAGGTGATCCCCAAACTGCTCCTTGCTTCCTGCTGAAAAAGTTATGGCGTTCGTGGGTTGGGACCCTTCCATGAGAAATTCTCATGTAGGAAAGAGAAATTTCATCCTGATCTCTGTATAAAAATACAACAGACATAACAATATATAAATCTCTCTGACTTAAAAACYAGACTCTCAGAACATCTGCTGCAGTTCAACCAAACTTACCCTTACCCTCCTGCTGRTTAACACATCTTGGAGCCATTGGGAACCAAGGAATTCATAGTTATTTCCTCTGTGCCCATTGCATCACAGTGGCTGACTTAGTTCTGCATGGGAAAAAAATAAATAAACAAAATCAAGATGAAAACAGCTGTTTTTTACATTCAATCAAAACTTTGTCAGGAACTTTTCCTTCAAATACAGCGAAGTTCCATGGTTTTGGCGCAACTCATGTAAGTTTTAGCAACTGTAGTGATGCTGCACTACTTTCCACAAAAATAATTGACCTGAAATGTTGCAAAAGTATCTTGGCTGAGGTTTACCCATGAAGAATTTCTGGGAAAAAGGCTTAAATATTTAGTCTGATTTCCAGTTTTGAACCTAGAGGGATACAAAGAAATATATGACTGTGGCTGGTGGTCAAAATCTCAAATCTTTTTTGACACAGTGTCTTTTTTTTTAGTATACTTTAAACTGTGGATCAGTTTTGATTGGTTTCTCAAATTGTACTGAAAAAGGGATTTATTTCTTTAAAATTCATCTTACAATTTTGAGTCAAATCCAATTTTTAAGAAAAGGCTTTGTGATATGGGGAAAACCAAAACTGAATGCTGGGTATCACTTAAGATCTGTTATTTATGTGACAGTTGTCACAGTCATGGTTCTGCCAGGGAGAATTGAGTAGCTCAAAGGACTGGGGCCCAATCTTTTTCCCCTTTAGCACCTACAGTTATGATGAATGTACTTCATGGTTATCCCACACACTTTGCAGACATAYTTTGCCCTGCTTTACAAGTTAGTTTGGACCTGTGCCTACCTTGGCAGTGCTCTGTTGCATTKCATGTTTGGATTGGCAGATACCTTTCCACGTTTTGCTCCCACTCACTCTGATGAGATCCTGCTCCAACAAACACTTCCATCTCTGATTTATTATTTGCCCATGAGTAATGCTGCTAAAATCATCAGGGCTGTCTCTGTCCTTGTGCATRGGGGTCTCACAGATTGTACTCTCAAAAATTTCTAAAGCCCTTTGGAACAAGTTTAGTGAGACAAGAAAGCAGCAGTAAGTCAACACAGCAAAACATCTCAAATTCCRAGATGTTCCTTTCCTGTGGTGAGGAGGAAAGAGAAGGGAAAAGTGCTTCCATCAAATGACTTTCCAGAAATCTGCAGGACAGCTGTCATTTATCTTTTGATGGTGAATCGTTGTAAGACACTGCCATGATGACTATTTGTTTTCAGCATTACATTCCTATGCAGAATGGGGATATTGTAATGCAATTACGTTGCTGTCCACAGTTCAGTTTGAGAAAAGAACTATTCTTCCACTTCTCAAGGCCGAMTAAAAACAATAATGGAAAATTCTTATGAAAGAACAGAAAATATTACCCTTTTAGAGGCTTTTGAATCCTTCTAAATGTAGAATGGAGTTAAATAATATCTCTGCTGGAGAACAGCTTAAAATAGCCTGCAGAAAAGATAACATTTTAACTGAAGGCTACAGTGTAATAGACATTTCTATGGAAACACTTATATTTCTCCAGCATATCCTTATGAGCTCTTCTAAATTCTATAAGTCTTTTCCATTTGTTGACACTTCATGTCTATAAAGGATTATCAGACAGTTCTCAAAGGGCTTAAAGCAAACCTTTTACTTATGAATATGTGGATATAGCATCCAGAAATATGAATTAAAGCAATAGAAATATCAGGAGTAAGATAGAAGCGAGGAGTGTACCCCAACAGGTAAGTWAATAGCTAAAGTATGGAAAATCAGTTTTACATAAATAAATTCAAGGAGAGAGGAGGAGATAACTGTGTTAGATAATGGCATAGATGTACAGAAATAATCCGGAGGGATGTGTTTTTAGAATGGAAGGTAGTRTGCCTTCTATTCATGCATTTTTAAGCAGGTGGTTGATTGCTCTCACTGAACTGCTTRGCTTTACTCCAACTGAAGGTGTTTGGAATGTGTAATGAATGCATTGTGGTCTCAGTTCTTCCTTCCMTTTATTTATGTGTGTTTTTTAATTTTCAGAATGCCTATGTCAACATCAATCGAATCATGTCTGTGGCGTCACGGCTCTCCGAGGCAGGCCACTAYGCTTCCCAGCAAATCAAACAGATATCCAGCCAGCTGGATCAAGAGTGGAAGAGTTTTGCTGCAGCTCTGGATGAGCGCAGCACCATCTTAGCCATGTCTGCTGTCTTTCACCAGAAAGCTGAACAGGTGAGTTGCTTTTGTGAGAGGCAAAATGGTCTCGATAATGATGATGCTGCAARTATTACTTGATGGCTTTTGGCTTTTGTGCAGGGAGGCTGAGAGCTTTATTCCTTGTAGCTCAGTGTCTGAAAAACCAGCAATAACATTTCCACCCCCGAAACATCCCATGTCCCTTGGTGGCTAAGAAATTATATTTTCACCTTGGTAATGAAAAAGAATCTGATCATAACCAAAGTGCACTGGTGCAGTAACAAGSTGTTTTATTTCTAATATTTCATTAGTGCTGTGGATAAATTCAGGATTATTATGGTCAGGAAAGCAGTACCTGCAGTCATATGAGTATGTGATATGTGCAGAGGAACATTTGCACATATGACATAGACCCAGAGCAGCAGGCAGTTTCTAGGAGCCAAAGAACATTATTGTTAATGAAAATTATAGAATTCATTCCAACATTTACTCTTAGAGTGCTCTTCACAGCCCCAGCCTTTGTTAGACCTCACCAAATAGATATTTCAGAGACAGTTGTAAACATCCAAGAAAATTTTCAATATCCCTGAACTCTATTTTGTGTCTTTAACAACTGCTAGAATAGTTCCATAATTCATAGCTAGAAATGTTTTTAAATGTCACTGAATAAACATTGTGCTTTTTTTTTGCATCTAAACCAGGTCTACCTAGTGATGATGGTTCAACTTCGATTATATGTTGATTACATTCATTTTCCAGTGACAAACACTGYTTTGGGGCTCTCTTCAGTGTTGCTGTGTGCTTGTTTTTCCAAGTCGTTAATACCAAAGCTACTAAGTGGGTGTGCTTGATGTTTATAAAACAACCTATACTTGAAGCATCTGTAAAAGAAATTGTGAGAGCTAAGTCAGACACTGTCTCTTAAGCCAGAATATATGTATAAAAAAGGTTATCTTAGAATGAAGATTTTCCTCATTGTTTCTGGCTGTAGAATTAACAATGGATTGCTCTTTATTCTGTGTTTCCTATTGACAACAGGCAATAGCATAGAGCAATTACTCACCCTACTGGGCACTTACTCATGTAAGCACACTCAGTGCCTTTGATGAGACCGATAATCTGAGAATATGCCAAGTGCAAGAACTTTCATCTCCTCACGATGGGCACTGTAGTGATTAGGTATAGTCTTCATGTTAATGATTAGTCATAAATTCATAAAGGAAAATCAAACCAAGAATTTATATGCAGTCTATAGTCACAGTGAAAATGTTTAGGATTTATTACTGAATCAGATACTTGTTGTTTACTTGGTTTAGGTTTGGGGTCGTTTTTACAGCTTTTTTTTTTTTTTTAAATGAGTGATCCCTTATTTTTCTGAAGTGTCAGTCTTGTTTGCTGAGGTATTGTTCATCATGAAAGGCAATAAACCAGAAAACTATACTGATCTGTCTGGCACCTCTTCCCAACAAACTGAAGTTTGTGCTGTCTAACAGAAGCCAATCTCTCATTACTGATAGACAGGAGAATTTGCTAATTGTGACAGCAGTTGCTCTTCACTTTCAGTAAGAGAAAATTCAGTGGAAGATCAATGGTGGTGTGAAACCTGTGAACTCAGCTACAAAAAAGAAATGTGGGTGTCACTGTGTCCATGAGCCAGGACTAAAATTTCATCCCTGCTTTAGTAATTCTGGTAGGATAAACCAATGACTTGAGATAATAATTTGGTCRTTTAACCTCTGTATAGTATATATAGTGAGGTGTTTGAGATTTGGTCTATAACTAAGTCTGTCGTCTATCAAACATTCATTCCAAATGTGCCTCTTTATTATTTGGCATCAGCCAGRGTTTTTTTAAACTCAGATCAGGGCTTCATTATTTTACAATAAATAGGGCTTATTATGAAATAGGGCTTTGTTATGAAGCAAAGATAYAGATAAACCCACTATTTCCTCTGTTGCAGATCAAATCTATTTTCRCTCCCTTTGTTCTCTCAATAAGGGTAATCTTGTTGCAGATGCAGCCGTTTCTCCCACAGTGTATCCCTGCTTCCCTCACACCGATCTGTGGTGCAGATTGTCATTCCTGCTCCAGTGCAATAAGCTGCTGCAGTCTCTTTGTTCATTCCTTCCTATTGATTGAAGGTTTCTGTGATGCCAACAGGAAGCCAGTCTACCMGGACCATAATCTTTCAGCCTCTGGCACACCCCAGCCTGCAAGGGAGTTGTTAGCTTGGGACAGAGATTTATGAAATATCTATACTATGCAAGCTGAGCAGGAAGAAATTTGTTTTTTCAAGGTCTCTTCCTAAAGACCCCACACAGAAAAATGCACAGAATACAATTTGTYGGGCTTGGAAGGATGAAAGGCTGAGTCAACCCTCCTGGGAATTGAACCTCACATCTGTCTTCATGTGTCTCAGAATCACATTGCTTTCCTGGCTTTTATTGCAGATACATATGGCATGTATGAATGGGACTCAGCTGAATGGATTCCTGGATGCTGCTGCTTTTTGCTTTTTTTTTTTTTTTCAATTTTTATTTTGTGTGTGTGTGTACATACGTGTCTTTCTTAAATTTCGTAAGCACAATTTGTACTAAACCATCATCAGTAAAACAGCAAAGAAAAGGAAAAAAATGAAAAGAAAGAAAAAAACCAAGACAAACCTTGCCAACTACTTAGCCTCCAGCTAGGCACCCTTCAGCACAAGTGTTTGATCAAAAGCCAGTAGACTAAACTCAAAAAACTTATTTGTCCAGGTCAAGGTACCACTCAGCAGGTTCAGGTTCCCAAATGTCCTGTCATTCCACCTGCTACTAATCCATTGATTGTTTGGGTTTTTTCCTCTTTTCCTCTTGCCTTTTTTTTTTTTTTTTTCCCTTCCTTTCTCGTGCTAACATGGAGATATTCTACAGCAAAAGAGAATCAGCTTATCTATCTTAATGTGTGTCAGGAGGACGTAGGACAACGTGTCTTATCTCACTGAGATTGTAGATTTACTCCAGATGAGATTCCTGCTCAACAAGCACCAGATGGGGGAAGCACCCATACCAGGTGTCCTCCCCATCTTGGATTCARTCTCTGAAGGTGTCCTGAAGTGTTCATAGGATGTTCACTCCACAGATCCTGTCAGAGTGAACAAATTAATGTTTTGAATCAGCCTGGAGTTCTCAACCAATTAATTCTGAGTCATCCCTCATGAGCAGAGTTAATGTTTAAGGTAGTAGGTGTTATGTGCACACACTATATGTGCTGATTCTCAGAAAAGTGACCCCTGACCAGTTGTTTCATAGTTACTTTACTCCACAACCACGGAGCTGATGGTTCTCATTTCTCAGCTCTGCCTGGRTCTCTCTAAACACTTCCTCAGCTCCTCTTCAGGAGGCAAGGAAATGAAAAAGAGAGGAAAAGAAAAAAGGGAGGAAAGGAAAAGCCAAATAATATCTATAAGATGCAGRGCTAAGACCAAAATAGATAGGGAAACTCCAGAAACAACAATAAGACAATTAGCTTCAGTACAATTAATACAAAAAACAAAAAATTCATGGTAGTAAGAGGTTTCAAAAGTCACTGAGGAAAGTGGCTTCAAGGCTTTCTCCCCATCTTTCCCTGCAGCCATTCYGGAGCATGAAAGCACACTAGAATTTTGTTTTAAATTTTCTGGGTCCTGGAGAACCATCCTGGTTATCCTGCAGCTTCCACACAGGAACAAGCAGTAAGCAAGAACCGTTAAAAAAAAAAAAATGGAGAAATGCAGAGTACAAAGTGTCTGAGCTGTGTTTTGGAGCAACCACATGGTATAGCAGAGCAATCCTTGAGGAAAATTAGTAAGAGGTCTGAGAATACCTGTTAAAATCTGCATACAAAATCTGCAACTCAGGTTGTGAGTTGTGTGAAAATGTTGATCATCACTTTAAAGTTACTTTTAGATTGGATTGGATTGCAGGCACAAAGGTACCGTAAGGACTTCTTTATTTTTTGGGTTACATTCTTCTTAATCTTTCTTAAGCCTTTTTGAAAAGCATGGACAATTATTGCAGGCTGTCATTTCAAATCATATTTAAGCATATTTTATGTTCCCAATAGGAGAAATTCTAGTCAATAAACTAGTTATGAATTTAAGCATTTCATTTAAATGGTATTGAGTTCCAGTAGACAGTAATGACTCCTGTTCCAAACTAACAGTAATTTATAATTTTAAATGGAACTTTTTGTAACTTATTCAAATGGTGATTTTGTGATAAGGATTTACTTCTAGCCTGAAGGGTTACATTTAAATAATTTTTTTTGTCTGGCACACTGTGTGACAAATAACAAAAACTAACAAAGCTGCTGTTTTCAAAATACCCMAATCAATAGTCCTATGGCCTGAACTAACATTTTGAACAATCCTTAAAAAAAACCCATTTGCTTTTCCTCCATGACTCTGCACACACAGCACAGACCTTTCTGCACTGTTTCAAAATATCAGAGTAAAACTGACAAGCTTCATCTCTTAAAACTTTTTAAAACAGATTATGTCAACTGCTCTTGCCAGTGGCAAAAGCAAAATTAACAAAGTAATTGTGACATTTTCTGTGTACAAAAGGTAGATGCAAGACAGCAAGATGGACATGTGGTTCTGTGCACTGGATCTTCTCGAGACTTCTCCCACCCACTGTGCAAATCACAGTCTGGGGAGGTGGCAGTAGATGAGTAACATGACTGTAAGAGCTTTTACTAAGATTGGTAGAATTCAGCAGTTTTGATAAGAGCTGTAGCAGTGTGATTCCAGCAGCAGGAGCACTCGTCTATAAGGTGTAAAGGTCTTTTGTTCACTGTTTCAACCAAGAGGTTCATGGCACAGTCCCAAAAGGGATTGATCTCTGCTCTGTGCTCTTWAACTGCAGAGGATATTATGTGAATTCCATTACTTTGGCACAAAATATGATGACTTCAGCTTTATGCAGGGGTGTTTGGGGATTTCGTCTGAACAGATTCAACAGATCATAAGTCAAAGCAGTGCAAGAGAGCCTGCCATCCTTGCCTAAAGCTTTCTATAAAGCTCAGTTGTCACTGGTAGATTTATACTTTGTAGACATGAACATTTAGGAATTCATCTTTGTCACCAAATCTTTGTGCACTGAAGTGTTTACAATGCAAACACTTTACGGCCTTGATTACACAGCAGCATGGTGAATAGCTTTACACTACCAATAAAAAAGGATGCTGATGCCAGGGACAGAGTTGAATTGGAATTCTTTGCTTTGAATCACACAGCCCTTCGTGCTGCSAGTGCTGTGCTAACAAGCCACAGGTGAACACTTCAGGAGGCAGCAGAGCTGTGATCCTGGGGTGGTTTTGTGGCATTATACATTCATCCTACAGGGCACTGCATCTGTTATATAATTTGCTGTTCTATTTTATAAATAGCCCAAGGTATGGCAGGGTGGTTTAACAGAAAGATGGAGGAAGAGAAAGCATTAATGAGAAGTAATGAGGTGGCATTAGGYAGTTCATATGGACTAAATATGAGCATGTGAGCTGTGTCATTGAACTAAGCCCTGCTTAAAAGAAAAACAGGGTGGGAGTCTTAGGACTAAATTCCTCTTTTCCTTTACAGAACAGGCAGCACCCAGTAGAACTTGCCCAGTTTGTTCTGCCAAAGTGCATCAGCACTGCTCTGGAGGCCTTTAAAAGTGGAAAATTTTTTTTTCCACCCCTTTGCTCCCTGAAGTGTTCAGTTTCTGGCTGGCTGTTAAGGCTTCCAACCAAGGTGCTAAACCATATCAGTTGCAATGGCAGTGCTGGTTTGTTGGTTTTTTCCTTYCTTTTCATGGACATCTGCCCACCAGGAGCTGGACTGAGACCAGCAGATCATTTTGTGCTGGCTGCTTAGCTTCATCAGATGGTAATGGTATCTGATCACTGCTGACCTCGGCCAGAAGCACATGTGTGACCAAAGCCTTGGCATCCTAATAGCAATCCCACTGAGCTGGACCTGGGTTGGGAACCCCTTGGATACCAACTGTCTGCTTTTCACTGAAGTAATTGTCAGCAGTGATTTTAATGGGAGTTTTCTGTTGCTCAAGTGAGTAGTTTTAAGGACAGGTAAATGACTGAGGGAAGACAGATGAGACAGTGCCAAATGCAGCTGGAGCTGTCACTGTGTCCTTTTGTGCTTGACACTGATTTTTTTGTCTAAATATGTTGCAGCCTCCCTTTTTGGAATGCAGTGTTGTAGCCTCCCTGATGGTGTGCAGAGGCTTTTAGAATGGGTGTTTGCTGAGCCTGCTTAAAAGTGCATTAATTTTTAATCCAGAAGACAGAAAACATTTGTTAGTGAATCTAGGTGTCCTTCAGGTACTGAGGAGGTAACAGAAATGTGCAGTTCCAAGGTGCCCAAAGGACTCCTTTACAACTGCTGTGTTCTCAGTTGTTGCTGCAGTCATCTGTGGCACTTTACAAAGTTTTCTMATGTTGATGAGATGTTGTTCCATGTCACTGTTGCTCATGGGTCCTGGAATTGTTTCAGTTCCTTTCAGGTGTGGATGCCTGGTGCAAAATGTGCAGTGACGGAGGCCTCCCRTCAGAAATGCAGGACCTGGAAATGGCCATCCACCATCACCAGACCCTCTATGAGCAAGTAACACAGGCCTACACAGAGGTAGGTGCTTCCCAGAGAAAATGTGAGTACCTGCTGAGYGGTAACAGACACATGGCTGCATTTAGGAGCTTAGCTTTTCTAAATGAGGTGAGTTCTGCTTTACGTTTCTGCAACTCTTTCAAAGATGGGGTCAGACCTAATCCCTAATCCCAGGCTGTAGTGCATGACTTCCCAGCAATTTGCTTGTATGGGAAGAACCAAAGGAYAAATCTGAGGGACAAACCCCATAGAGAAATGAAATCTAGAACCAGTGTTGGCACCCCARAAACAAGCCATTTCTTAAAATCCTGAGTCCAACTGCTGAGCTAAAGCTATCCTCTACCAGTGAACCCTGTCCCTAAGCACCATGTCYRRTGTATTTGTATATACTGTTGTAAAATATCTCCTACATAAATAGGGTATGTGTTATTTTCCTTTAAAAGAGGATGCCAAGAATGCTGAGACAAATTCTCTGGCATTTTGTCAAAGAAACCCACATGAAGTTCTTTACTTGCTTYTTTCCCCATTCAGGATACAGCATGAAGTTAAAGCTACTGACAAAAAGTTGGTTTCCCTGGACTGTACTGAAGTGTCTTCTGGTTGAGAAGGGATTTTGGTCCTTGCAGGGCTTTCCAAGCTTATTAAATTACCAAGTGAASACTCCAGGACAGAATATAGCAATATTATATAGCAATATTATATATATATCTCCTACATGCTCATCCCTTGCTCTGGTAATCATGGCCTTGAAAGAAAAATAATATAAATAGAAGAGAAGCTCATTTACTATTTAATCTTGGTGGTAGGCACTCATTCATTCACAGTGCAGTTGTGCCGGTACCTCGATGAAATGAGGAATATTAGATAGAAATCTCCACTTTCCCAAACACTGCAAGAATTTGGGAGTTAGTCAGATTAGAATGAGCAAGTCTAGGCTGCAATCACAAAGGGTACAACCTTATACAATCCTCAGGCTTCTCAGGAACAGTGCATTGTGTGCCAAACAAAGAAGAGTCCTGTTGACCTCTAGTTGCAGCTATCAATTTYATACAAGTGCCTAGTCAGGTGAAACTACGTTTTTTAGGTTGCATTTTAAAATATTTCTAAAATTTAAGTCAAATTTGAATTAAATAAAAGATAATGATGTTTGAAACTGGCATTTTGTTTGTCAGCCTCAATTTTAGTTTCTGTGGAATGAAAATTTAGTTTAAAACTCATTACCAAAAGCAATGATTGACATCCTTATTGCTTTTGCTGATGCTTCCTCGGAAGGATATAACTTGTCAGAAACATGGCTGTTTAAATTATTTCTGTACTGTTTTACTAAACATTTTAAACAGTACATAGAATTGCCAGAAAAGTTACAGTCTGTTATTTTGGAAATGTTCAGCCCTGTTTCCACAGCTATGTAAGGAGGTGAAGAATCTTAGGAGTTGTGCCTCCTATCCACATGCCTATTCTCCAATTTGTATAATGGTTGCAGTGAGAACTTTTTGCCTTATTTCCTTTATTGATCATGAGTGAAACTCAGAATTAGTGGAGGTGGACATAACAGACTGTGCAATCCACAGCTAAGAAATCTCCTGCACTAAACCAAGCTGCTGGAGGAACAGGCCTTCCTCTTTCTGAGCATTGCAGGGTGCTCTTGCTTCTCCTTTGGCTAGAGCAGTGCTGGAGGGAGGAGATACACACAGGTKTATTCCTTTGGCAGACTCCACTCTTGCAAAGATTTCCTCTCAATGTCTCTAGCCAGAGTGCAGGTGTGTTCCTCCACCAGTGTTTCTCATGGATAAACAGCAGGAGAAAAAAACTGAGACACCCCTACTGGGGACTGCACTGATGTGGTAAAGATAAGGTTGGGAGGGAGGGAGAGTTTTGTTCCAGTCAGACTTGAGCGTGGTTGATGGTAAGAGCATCTTGTTCACTATGACTTAACTGCACTTCACTGTCTCTTCCTAGAGGAATGATATATTTGCTCTAAACCCCATTTTTTTCCCCCTAGTGCAAACTGTAGCTGTTTCACAAATGGCACCATTAGTCTTGTCRCTTCCAAGGCTCTGCAGGTCTTCCTGGCCCACTGTAAAGGATATCTGTGGATTTTCACTTTTTCCCTAGCTGTGTACAGAGCAGCCATGGGATGATTCCACCAACACAACAAAATCTGGTTTTTTTTTTGTTCTCCCAAGGTCACATAACATTTTCAGAAGCATTTGCATTCTGCCCATCCTTTTCCTACCACAAAGCCAGGAGCATCACCAGGTGTTAGGAGGGTATATGTGTTTCGTGTCAGGTGGTGAACTAAATTTTCCCAGAGTCCAGCAGCACTTGTGTACTTTTCAAAATGAGTGAGAAAGCCTCAAGTTTGTTGGCCCTTACACCTTACTGGGACTGCAAGTCCTGTGGCGTGCAGGTCCATTCAGCTTAAGACTTCTGCAGTACTTAAAAATATGGTGTAAATAAGATGTAAGTGAAGTGATGTGACAAACCTTGCACAGTCCTTGAAAAATTCAAAAAGATTGACATGAAAAGAATTCTGTTGATTTATTTTTGCAGTTATAAGGAGAACATGGAAATGACTGAAAGAGCMCAGTAGGTGGCTTCTCCATTTGTGAGGCTGTTCGCTTCCTCTCTGAAATTTGCTCATTGGGGAACTCTGAGAGCACAAATCTTCTGAGCCTATTCATTGGGAATGCAGTMATATTCAAAATTGCAATACTTTTGGAAAAGAAAACTTTTAAGCCAAAGAACTTCAGAGCTGCAGATGATATGAAATACAGATATGATTATCTGTGTATACGAATATCTGTGTAATTCTTGTGAATGCTCGGTATCACTCATCACCTGATGGTCACCATTCTCCTTTTCATTTATTTAGTCCAGTGTGACAGGACAGGCATGGAAACTGGGGAGCAGAAAACCATTTCTAATAAGCTCTGATTTGTATTAATGATTATTAAAAGGACAACACAAGCAYTTGAAATCTGGTTTTTATCTCTGGCTGTGCAGAGAATAACTAGAAAGTCATACCCATCAGGAAAAATATCATAACTTGTAATCTCTGAGGCTTTTTAGAGAGACAAGAGAAACAAGTTGCCATACAGCAGATAAAAACCTACATCCCACAGAAGAGAAAAGAGACAAGGCAGAAGTGTCGCTATTAATAGGTCTGTATTATAGCACAAATTTTGTAAGAAAGTTATCCTGAGTAAAACATGTCTGTCATATTTTCTGTGCAATCACTTGTCTTGCTGGTAAACTTTTGAACCTTTATTGTTAGTCCCRGTTCTGCTGTGATTGCTCTTAGTGTAAATGAACAGGGACTCTACTAAAACCACTGGAACACCACCCAGGGACTGGTTCGGGGCAACTCTAAACCCAAACAAYAAGAGGAGCATAGTGAATGTACACAGTGAATTTAGCCAGCACARAAAGTGAGTTCCTGGTCCAATGAGCTGCACCCACATGTGTCCRTGGCCTTGGTTTCCTGTTCCCAGTGATTAAGGTTTTGCTGATTGTCTTCCCACAGATAAAACAGGGTGTAGCATGCYTTATCTCCYTCCTCTGGGAGCTGCTTCTTCCTGACTAGCAGCTAATGCCATCTCCATAATCTTGCCAAGGTAACACCTGTGCCTCAGTRTTTYSTCCCAAAATCCTCTATCATAATACYACTRTCCACTGCTRTTGTTCCCTCTGTGACCCCAGAAGGCACCAGCATGTGCAAATTATTCCAGCTGATCTTCAGCAGCAGCTGAAATTGAGTATGGAAAGCCGCTCCTGACGTACTCTCCAGTTGTTTCCTGATCTAACTCCAAATTGCCTAGAATACTTAAAAATGTCCAAGAATTTGCCTAAGACCACTAATCATAAATATGAAGAGATTTTACTCGAATTTTTGTCAGTATGCATCTCAAAGCACCTTGATTTCTCTGCAAATGCACCAGATACACAATGCCATCACAGACCAGGATGTGACCTGGTTTGCCAAAAAGCACAATTTTGGGCATTAAAGGATATTTGCTGCATTTGAAAGAACAACTTATAATGCAGGAACAAATGAGACATRGAAATTCTTGAGATGGGTCATATCCTTTTGACTCGCAGTGTTCAAAATTTGAACTGGATGAAAAACATTTCATTAATCTGTTTTCTGGCAAGATTGGTAATTGGTAATTGCATACAAATACACTTTTCAGAAAATCTTGTAGTTTTCACTGCAGTTTGTTTCAGAGGGAAAAGAAAAAAGTGAGCTGGGAAGAGAGAGGGATTCCAGTAGTGTCCTCATTTTCCATTTCTGTTGAGTAAAATATTTTCATTTCATAATCTGGAACTAAAAAATTTCAAAAAGCCATTTTTAGAGGATCAGTGCATGCATGGGTTTTTTAGTAGAAGTTTGGTTTTTATGGTTGCATTTGTCATTTTGATCCAMAATACAAAAATGGCCCAGGAATTTTCCCAGAAAAAAAAAAAATCTGCCATTAAAAATCAAGCATTCTGAGTTATTTTAATGTCCCGATGTCTTTGCATCTGCAAATATCTTTTATTGTGCTTGAAAAAGGTCAGATGTGTGCAGAGGGCTTTGCATTTACCAGCAAACTTTGTAGTTCATTGAAAATGGAGACCATGGGTCCCTCTGAGCTGTTCTTGGGGAAGAAAAGAATCAGTCATATACTAATTTATTTTTCACTGCCACTGAATGAAATAGAGAATGGAATGTCACACTTCATAACGTATAGACATACTTAGTAATCCTATGAAGAAAGGACTCTCCCATATTATACAGAATATGAATGACTCTGCCATCTGTGGTTTTCTTAAAATGCCACCTCCTCACAAAAATAGGCCTGCTCTTGCAAATGCCACCTGTCACCAAGCAGTGTGCGTCAGGAATTTTCAGTGCAAGTGTCAGAATGGATAGAGCCCTGGGATCTCGGTGTGCAGCCCAGCAGTGCAGTACCTGTGCTCCTGCTGAGGGACACAGCAGGCCCACTGGAGGCAAAGGCAAGTGCTGAATGTATAAGTACAAGTCAAAAAGAGATSTAAAGAACTCTTTCTACCTTTTTGACTGAAATAAGGAAAAAACGCAGCAGAAAAAGAATGAGCTAGATTGTTCTCTGTCAGCTGTTGGATATTTAAGTACCAGTGCAGTGAAGTAGATTTATTTSTTCACTCAGGTGAGCCAGGATGGAAAAGCCTTGCTGGATGTCCTACAGCGTCCCTTGAGTCCTGGGAATTCTGAATCCCTCACTGCCACTGCAAACTACTCCAAGGCTGTTCACCAGGTGTTGGATGTGGTGCATGAAGTCCTGCATCACCAGCGGCGYCTGGAAAGCATCTGGCAACACAGAAAGGTCCGGCTGCATCAAAGGCTGCAGCTCTGTGTTTTCCAGCAGGATGTTCAACAGGTAATATCCCTACTAAAAAAAAAATTTAAATGTCCCTTTCTTTGCAGCTATAAAGATGAGTGACTCATCCAGAGGCTGTTGCCATCACCAAGATTTCACACACAGCTCTACATATGCTAGAAATAAGCTAAAATCCTGATGCACCTTACAGTATCTCTTGTGTCAKGTTAGAAATCATCAGTCAGTCCATTGAATAATAATCAGTGGTTTATTTGTCACAAGTGAGCAATTAGCTATAGGTACTCTACTGTTCCTGAGAAAGTGATGTTTAACAGGAATAAGAATTTCAGTTGTAAAAAGCAATTGAACTGTGGTGTATTTCACCTTCCTGTGTGGAAACAACATCAGCTGGCAGTTTAGTGGTGCAGTTTAGATGATCTTTGCACTATTACCACTTTATGGTTTATGGAGTCCACATACCCGTGCCATGAGTTTGCTGGCTCAAATTACCTGCACACCCCAATGCTCAGAGCCCACCTCACAGAAATAAGTTTATACAGCACAGGCTCCTCTCTGAGAACCTCGGCTCCAGGTGGACAACTTTCCTGTCCCRAAGGAATCCATGTGAGTACCACACAACAATGTGAGTGACAGTCAGTATGAAATGCTACGTTTGTAGCTGCCAACTAAGCAAGCACAATCAACAGATGTTCCAGGGCTCTGCTCATTCAGGGTGGTGTGGTTTGTTTAAGGGCCCCATTACAGCCCAAAGCAGATGTTGGTAGCAATATGGCACTTGCTTTAAATGAAGAGGCTGAATGCTCTAATGATGTTTRTGGAGCATTCTAATGTCCCTGGGGTTCTTTATGCCATTTCCTTCCTCCAAGTGAAAAATGAGGCAGAGACGRAGTGACAAAGCTGTCACATGCAAAATAGACATGAACCAACAAGGACAGGAGGCAGGCAACTGTTAYTCAACATGCAAATCTGTGGTCCTGTTAGTACCACAGCTGAAGTGCACCAGCACAGACAGAACTGTAGCTGCAGATGTCCTYTGCAAATATTTGTGACCATTTCTTTCGCAGTCCTCAAAAGTTTGCCAGTATTTCTACCTACACAGGTTTTCCTCTAAAACCACAAAAATATTCATGCCATATATATAACTAAAACAGGGACTGAATGTAACAGATGCTTAATTTAAGCAACTTTGCTTTCATTATGTGTCAGCAAACATACTGCATGGTMATGAAATTCATAAGCTTTATATTAAATAGAGCATGTATTTGATATTCAGTGAGAATACTTTCAGCAAACTTTATGAAGTTAATACAGTTTCAGGGCTAAAATCTGAAAAATCAAGGATTTTAAATTCTGATTGGTTTATATTTTTTCTAATTGTGGTATTGAATGTCAATAAGAGTCCGTATTATCTTAGGTACTCTTCATTCCCTACACTTTTGTTCTATCTTTCCTAATTGGAACTTTCTTACATCTTCTGAATTCAGTAGAAATGTTTATGAGGTTCATTCATGAAACCCATTCAAACTTTTACTTCCCACACATGCAAGGCAATGAGGCTGTGTCACTGGTTTTCAAAAGGAGCAGGTCTTTGTGCATACTGTGGCTTTTAGGGAGAGAAAAAAAAACCAAACCAGGCAGTAAGAGTCTCTGGAGCACAGTCACTTTAGAGAGCATTACTCCGTGTGAGTTCTGTTGGCAACAGTCTTTCCAAATTTTTCTCTTGGTGGGTAGTTATTATCTGGGAAGCAACAACTTAATGACAGACATGCTTCCATCCTAGCACACACTGGAGGCATCTCTTTGTCCTGCTTAGAAAGTAGAGASGAAGAGATGAATCATTCTGTTCACTAAACATCTGTACTATTCAACATAAAAGCTTTGTAACTCATAAATGAAATTATCAGCTAAACAGAAATATGAATTGTAGATTCCATGAGGAGGAGGAAGATATCTGAGTATGTTGATGGGGGCTCTTTTTGAAACTAATCACCTCCTGTATGTCTGTCATGCAATTCCTATTATGCTTATTTTGTTAAATGCCCATCAGCTGGCAGATGAAGCTGTCTACCTGTACATTGTCACTGATCATAAGCAACATTTGCCTGTAATAATTTCATGCCTTGTCAAAATTGAATAACCTTCAGCTTAATTCCTCCTAGTTCAAGTCTAAAATGAAGAGACGTGGGAGATTAAATCCTGACAAGAGAGCCCTGAGTTTATTAGACTTCTCTGTCTCCTAAACACRTAAAGTGTAGTTTCTCTAAGGAAGATTCACGCAGCTCAGAATTAAACAGTTTCTCACAGGTGCAGTTTTCCCTGTCAGGACATCCTGTGCTCACGCTGTCCAGCTGTTGTCCACTGCAGTAAAAGTTCTGGTGAAAGATGATCTCTGTGGCAGAGCTTGCGCTCCTTCACTTGTTAAGCCAAACCCTTCTTGTCATGTCACCTGTTCTGCATCAGTCTTAAATGTGGATGTTAATAGGGACAGGTTTTGCTGTGTTTTGTGTTCTTAATACGGACTCCAAGATTATTTTGCATCCTCTGGGTCTGCTATTAACAGCATCAGTAGATTTTGGTAAAGACATCTCCAAGAAGAGACTCTTGCGGATCCTGAGAGATCAGTAATACCTTATCTAACTGTTCTGGTTTGTTTTACCTGAGGGATGGACTATTTGGGCCTGGAATACTGGGGGTGCACAGAGAGATCTTGCAAAACTGATTAGCTGGATGAAGRTTTTATGTAGGCCAAATGTGTGCTATTTGAGCTGGATTTGAGGGTTTAGTTCTGTTCTCATTCATATAATTTCTAGTCATCATCTGCACCATTTTCAAGGCAAGACTACCTCCTCTACATACTAATGGCACATCAGGGCTATGTTCTCAGAGAGTTTCACACTTCAAGGAAATACTTCTGGTTYTGGTTCTAGCTGGATTTTGAACTGCACAGAATCCCTACAGTCACAGCATAACTGAAATACAAATTGTGCTGTATAAAGAACACTGTAAACACTGTGGATGGCCAAGTTACAATATTGATATAAGAAATGTTATGCTATAAAATATCATTAGAAATAATCACTACCTCACACCATCAGACATTTTACAAGACTATTTGCTACTACATCTATGTATTAAGACAATTGCWTCCATTTGCACATGTGAACCAAGGTAAATAATGGTGTGCTGAGGATGGTGAGTTATGAATATATAGTGTTTTAAAGAAGGGAAGAAAATAAATAGTGTGAAACTACATTTGCAGCCTTCACAGGAAATAGAGCACCATTCACACAAAAGCAACAACAGTTAAGAAAATTTGTGAGCTGCCATGAGGTTCAACACAGGCAGGAACTGACAAGGAACTCTTTTAACACCAAAAGTATTTAGGATCATTATAAAAATGTTGKGTTGCTGACTGTGTGAAATATTTCATTGCTTCAGTTGTTTTTTAGAAGTTCTCTGGTTTTAGATAGGGAAGAAGAGCCCTGTTTGATCCTTTTAGGGGTGGGAGGAGGTGCTGAGACTCTGTCCTGCAAGGGAGGRGGAAAATCCCTTTGAATTTCATGCTCATGTTTTGTAGTTGCTGCTGATGCTTCACCCCATTTTTTGTACCTTTTCTCTTTTTCCCCTCTCAGCTCTAGATCTTCCCCTTCTGCAGACCATTTGCCATCAAATTAACACCATCTCCATTTCTGTTGAGATCTGAAATTGTTCTCACGTTGTCTCACATTTCCACTGCTTTGCACTGCTAGGTCCTGATTAATCCAGCCATCCTCTGCATGCATCTTTCCTCTATGACATGTTCCCTTTGCCCTGTAAGCAGCAACACTGTCAAACAGCAAAGGCAGCAAAAAGGTTGGAGCACGAGATGTTACCAAACAGCCTTAGAAGCTGCTGAAGTAAGTTTGTAAGGCTGTTCTTCATTCCACCACCTCCCCATCCCCTTTGTTTCACATGGGCAAGAATTTTGCCTGAATTCTCTTCTCGATGAACTCATTCAAGTGAAGTGTAGCTGTTGAAGGAGAAGGGAGACACATTCGATATGTTATTGAAATGGTCTGGGCAAGCCCTGAGCTTGTTACTTTAGCACACTTTCATGTCAGAACAGTCACACTGATACCCTCCTCCTGCTGGTTTCATTGCTTCTCACAGAAACTCTTTGTCTTTCCATCATTTCCATACCTACACAAACAGCATTTAGCCTGGCACAGGCAGACTGTTTCTCCACAGACTCACATGGTTCTCTGAAAGTCATGGCTGGTGGGTGCTACTTTCTTCTTGCTTTGCTTTGGTTGGGATGTCTACCTGTAAATGAAGAGCTGAAAAATAGGTGGCCATAGAGGTATTGTGTGTGCTGGTGGTTTCTTGGCTATGAACAAAGTGTTGACTTAGCTGTGGTGGCTCTGCATGGTAGAATGGAGCAGGCCCATMGTGCCAGATGAAAACCAGCAGCAAAGAGCAACATGACACTGACAAGCATTTGCTGGCAAGAGGGTAGGCGCCACTAAGAAAGCTGGGACTGTTGCCTTTCCAGCTGCAGTGATGTCTCAAATCCTCTTGGTTATTGAGAAGGTCAAGCTAGACTTGTGTAAGGTTCATCTGATTTCTCTAAATTTGGGATTTGCCTTCTGTTGGCTTCATGCCCAGATACATTAAGGGACATAGTTTTGGTTTCCTTACGTGGTTATCTGCCTCTGGTGATGGATAAAAAGGCCATGTGGCCATTCTGATATCATTACATTTACCAGCTGCCATTGCTGAGGGAGGCTGCAGAGCATTGAAGAGAAAAGGCTGTCTCTCTTCATAACCAAGCACTTTAACTTGTAATGTGTCTGGCTTTTAGAGGCAGGGAAAACAGAACAGGGCATGATCCTGACATCATTCGTATGGAAAAACGTCCTGCCAGCATCTATCTGTCTCCATACRCTATCTGAGAATGCTGAGCACTTCATGTGATACATGTGATCTATGTGGTCCATTTGCAGAAGAATGCTTGAATATTTGAGGCAGTTTATGTTTCATTTAGCTCTCACACAAGATTT